ATATGCAACGATTGTTATCACATGTGAACTGGGAAGGTCCACAAGTAGGAAAGGCTAATAAAAGAAAGGAAATATCATGAGTGACTTGGATATAAGAACCTCTCAAAGACCCTTTTTATCTTGGGCGTAATGTTTTCCCATTTCAGACCAAATGCCATTCCACTGAGAATAAGATTCGTTACAGTTGTATCCATATTCAAGTGTTTTCTCATGCGCAACCGTTTAACAAAGAAATTGTACTTTAGGGAATTACGCGTGGTCTGTCAAMAAACAGCAGCACAAGAAAAACATATCGCCCAACAAAGGTAAAAGGGTCTAATAGACCCTGCACAATTTGCTTTAAGAATTTAGGGTTTTAAAAGACGACACTGTATTTCCTTGATTATAGTGTATACCCAGGGTTAGCTTTATTTCGTATTAATAAACACAGACGGGAAGGCACAGAATGCACAATAATTACAATGTTAACACTTTTGAACACATGGATATTTTATAACAAGTCGAGGTTAACTCTGAGTAACATAAGATTCGAAACTGGAGTACTGGACTAAATATCATTTAACCTTTTGGACCAATTCACCTTTTCAATCAAGCTAGAAAAACGATCATTTACTTGTATTTAGAGAACTAACTAAACATTAACCAAGTAAATAGTTCATTTAGAGTCAGTACATTTATACGGAAATTCGAGAACAGTGTCCGAACTTTTTGGTGACTGTAACACAATCTAAAACGATTTATACCACGTGACGGCTAGCGCCGAAAACGAGAATTGTCACTTGAACAAATCTCTGGATAGCAAGGATATTCACCCCCCCCCCCCCCCCCCCCATCTCCCCTTGACCCTACCCATCGATAATAAATCGATAATAACTATCTATCTGTGCATCGGGTAGGGGTATACTTACTGCAGTTCCTTTCATCAGACATGTCTCCACAATCATCATCATGATCACACCTCCAGGACTGTCTGATACAAGTACCGCTGGTACACCTAAAATCTGTTGGCTTGCACGTTGAGTAGGCTGAAGACAAAATAAATGACTCAGTTACTGGTAAGTGGACGACACCAAAGCCGCCATGATGGATGAATCAAACAATCCATTTATCGCTTATTTTCATTTTGATTGCGACTTCCAATTGCTAACCAAAATGACTCCAAAACAAGTTCTATGACACTAGCATACAGCAGGATTTTTTAGTCCTAAAAATTCTGACTTAAGGCAGTGTTAAAGGACGAGGCTTTTACCAATTAAAAATTAAAATCATTGCATTTGGAAAAGCAAAAATACGTTTTCCTTGAACCTAGTTTTTTATTTGCGCAGTCTCTGATCAATGTGGACGTCGTGGAGAGGTCTGTGCTTATTAGTTCTCTCCCAATCGGATCTGTAAGCTATAGATAGCAGTGCCCTGACCTAGATCAAATTCTATAAATTTCTTAATACAATGCAACTTACGGCATCCTTGTTCATCAGAATTATCACCACAGTCATTCTCATGATCACACCGCCAGGTTGTAGGAATACATTTTTTGTTGTTACACAGGAACTGATTTGTAGCACAAGTACCACCTCAAAACAAAGTAAGAATTAAACATTTGATCTATGCACACTGTACTCAATAGAAGGGGGACTCTATTAGCTATGATCTATACCATGCTGTCCGTGAAAATACCTGTTACCTATCCTCCTCACGCCTCAAGTCACATAGGTCTTTAGGTTTCTATAGTAAACCTTTTTTACAGGAGCGGGTTATCAGTCCTTAGCCCAACCTGGAGGACCACTATTCGTTTCGCCCCTATCCTTCGACCTGTCCGGCATGGATGACCATACCAGGAGTACAAGACTTCCACTGGAATAGCTCTAGGGGTCAGTGGGACTGCAAGCCGCCCCACCACAATAAGGTGGTGATCCGATCAAGATAGTCAGTGAAAATAGTTATCTTGAAAACTCCCACCCACGATTTCCATGACAGTTCCTGAATAGTATTGTTTTCGCAAAAGAATTGGCAGCATAAAAGAGAAAGTTTAATTAATGTGATTATTTAAACAACTTGAACATACTTCTTGCCTGACATTCTCCATTGATTAAATCTTCTCCATTAAGGCACTCACAAGTAACCCTTCCAGACAATGAGGTGACTGTACGCATGTTATCAGGGCAGGCACATGTGTAGAATGGTCTGGTGGGTGAAGCAAGGCACAAGAAGTTGCACTTACTCTGGCTAGAACAGTTATTGCTACCTGAAATGAATAGATAATAATAATAATAATAATAATAATAATAATAATAATAATTGCTAAAATTTATATAGCGCTCATACTATACAATATTCAAGAGCGCTTAATAATAATAATATTATATACAGTCAATAAAAATAGGAAATTTTTTAAAAAGAAATTGCAGGTTCCAGATTGAGTATAAAGTAGATAATCAAAATAAGGAGTTGGCATTGTCCTTTAATGTTGCAATTGACGATGTTCGTTATTGTCACCGTCGTTCACTAATCTTGATGTTTTTGTCGTTATATTATTATAGTTGTCAAGGTTGACAATGTTGTAATATAGTACCGAACCGATGACGTCACAAAATTAAATCATTATTCAAGACTTCAACTCTTTGGTGACATCAGATCTCCATTACTAAAGCTTGGAACAGCCTTAAAGTTGGCAGAAATGTAGGCAATGGAAATTTCAAAATGAATTGTAGAATTTGTAATTTGATGGCGTTACACTTCGGTACTATATTGTCACTCATATAATAATAATAATAATAATAATAATAATAATAATAATAACAATAATAATAATAATWGAGTTCTTATATAGCGCATTTATTATCACAHTGTCTCAATGCGCTTTACATTGCAGTGGAGGACTTTACGGGCTGCATATTAAGGCGCTATTAGCAGCGGTGCAGCTTACAATCATAAGTTGATTTGTTAGTATATTAGTGTTATGCCTCCAGACAGGGATAGGCTGTTGAACCGATAATTTATTGTCACTTGAAACAAATCTCAATAAAACCTTGGGACCAAAATTTAAACAGATTCAATATATATTTATCATATTCTCCAGCGTCACTGCATGTCATTTTACTAGTAATTGGTTTGCTCTTTACCTTGTTGTATGTCTCGATGAAAGACCTTGAGGTCCATGATTCCTCTTAAGCCATTTTTCACAACCCTACGCATGTCACCTCTTCTTTTCTGTGCTCGCATGATAGAGTGTGTTGACCAGTCATCCCAGAACATGGAGTCTCTATATATGGAGATGGAGTAAGGATGAGGAATACCAACAGACACCACTACCTGAGAGAAAAGAAAAACAAAATAGTAACATCTACTAAGCTGTACATGTAGACAGGGTAGAAAAATGGTTTTTGGCCTTTCGCCATAAGGACAGCTTTACGTATTTAAGCTCAATATTTTGTAAACACGTTCTTTTGGAGCCATACAGCAAAATATCAAATGCGACCAAAATTTATTGAATGCGTATTTGAGATATAAAGCCGAGTACTTTGGATGAGTTGATATTTTGATCAGCAGAAAAACTGACATTTTCGTGAACACTAATAAGTAGATTTACTCTAATAATTCGACAAAATTTCGTCACAAGTTTCGTGCAGCAGTTACACAAATGAAACGCTTAAAAATTTGGAGTATTAAACTCAGTCAAATAAAAAAATCGTGAGAGTAGCGGGCTTGTCCTTTTTTCTGCCCTGTTGTACATGTACAGTATTGAGGTACTTCATGTGACGTCATGACGCTGTAGAGAAATTTGTCTCATTTGAAAAAGAAGTTGATATTCAAAGTCGTCCTATAGATAGTAGGGAGACTGTGAAGTTTCATAAAGATCACACTATTGAAGATAGGATTTGAAAGAAATGGACGTAATACTATGTTAATTGGCCTGCCAACATTCATTTCTTTGTAAAAGTCCTAAGACTTAAAAATTCATTAAGCCTCTGGATTATGGACAATCTTCACGAAACTATACAATTTTACTAAATATCTATATGAAAAAGTTTACTATAACAAACTCTTTTTTTCTGATAAAACGAAAAAAATTTTTCCAATAATTGGATATTACTGATGGGCAAGATTCTTGGTGGGTGGGGCCGTGGGCGGGGTAATTTTTGGGTGAGGGGGAAAGCTGAGATAATTTTTCTAAAATATCATATCTCCTTTTTCATATAGTTTCTTTTTGGACTAGTTTTATCCTTCTTATATTACATATTTATAACATTCTTTATAATTATTATTGTATGTATGTAAATCACTTATAATCCAGGGCCACCTGAAAATTATCAGTTGCAAAACCTGACTAATAAAGTTGTTATTTTTATTATTAATCAGCAGCTGCTGATAAGCCTCTAGTCAATTCCCCACTGTTCCAACAATTACCTCTCTGTTTGATCCATCTAAGTTTGCTCGCTCTATCCTATCCTTTCCAGCATCCGTCCAATAAATCTTCTTGTCTACAAAATCTATGGTGACACCATTAGGCCAGCGCAAGTCAGTGCTGATTATGTCAGTGCGATTATCACCTGACAAGTGAGCCCTGGCGATAACTGGTTTGGCTCCCCAGTCTGACCAGTACATGTACCTGAAAAATGCAGTTAATATATCAATGCCACAAGGCTTAGTAATCTCTATCAACTACCCTTCAGTGTCTTCATGGGTGGGAACAGCTTAATAGATACCTTGTATGTGAYGTCAAAGAAGCTCAATTTGGAATGCAAAACAAAATAATTTCAATCTCATGTGAGAATTGGAAACCACCCATATCCCTTTTGGTYCAGTTGTGTAGGCTTGAGCCGGTCGACAACAAATTGAAGGTTTTTTTGTCAAAAGAGGATTTGCACCATCACATGATGGCAGCCATGACAGGAGGAACAATTAAATTTGGTCTACTCTGATCAGTTTCTCAGGGGAGAAAGACTATATTGTTGTGCCTCCTGTCATGGCTGCCATAACATGGTGGTACAGTAGAAAGCCTCTATTAACTGTGTTGGAATATAACTTTTTTGGTTACAAGTAGCGCTTTTTATGGAAAGGGAATGACATAAATTATTATCTGTAGTAAAGGAAAAACATGATATCCAACAATAGCGGTACATACCCAACCTTAGGATCCAGTACAAGAGCTCTAGGCCTGTCCAATCCCCCTGTAAACAGTACTTTACGATACCGTCCATCTTTTCTAGAAACTTCAATTTTCTTGGCACCAGCATCTACCCAATAAATATTGTTGCCCAGCCAATCAAGTGCCAGACCCTCTACTTGACGTAGGCCAGTATGCAGAGTTTGAACAATTCCTAGACATGGGAATGAAAACACTACAATTAGTACTAAGTTTTTCAAGCTCCAGTTAGATTTGTGGGGTTTCCCCTGCTTGGTGATTCCAAAGTAAGCCATTATGCAAAGTTTGAACAATTCCTAGACATGGGAATGAAAACACTACAATTAGTACTAAGTTTTTCAAGCTCCAGTTAGATTCGAGGGGTTTCCCCTGCTTGGTGATTCAAAAGTAAGCCATTATGCAAAGTTTGAACAATTCCTAGACATGGGAAAGTAAACACTACAATTAGTAGTTTTTCAAGCTCCAGTTAGATTTGTGGGGTTTCCACTGCTTGGTGATTCAAAAGTAAGAAAAGTAAGTATTCTTCTTTTGCACATGACGTCATAGCTGCCAACTTGGATAAATTTAAGAAAAGACATGTCATTTTTCCAACAACATGGCTACCATATCTTTTTTATTTCACTCCCCTGGAAATGATTGAAAACTAGCAATTAAGCTGCAATATATTAAGATGTTGGCAGTGTGTTAAATGTCAGATAGTTGTCAGAACTGTTTGGCCAACATTTAATAGGGTTTTGTTTTTTATAAATGCCCACGAAATTTAAGTCAGTAATTTGTTTAGATTCCTGGCCAATAYGAGATGTTGGTGGCCGGGTACTGTCAGGACTTATTGCACCTTTAATGGGTCGCAGCAACCTGAATTTAATCATTATTAAGAGGAATATTTGATAATTAGTATTACGTAATAGGACTCTATGCTGTCCAATTAAGAAATAATTGGACGAGGACTTCCAAAATTGGATGAGGCCGTAGGCCGAGTCCAATGTGGCAGTCAGAGGAATTTTTCGAGTCTAGTTATTTCTTGATTGGGGAGCATGAAATCCCATTACCTATTAATTAATATATACCTGCCTAATTAATCTCATATCAACAAGACCTGTCCAATTAAGAAAACAATTGGACAGTTACCTATATGGGATTAATGAGAACCTGTATAATTATAAAGTAATGATGAAAAGGTAAATTATACACCTTGAAAAGATGAAAAAACTTACTGACGTTTCGGACGCTAGTCCTTCGTCGGAGTAAAAGAG